GCACCAGACAGCGACTCAAGATGATGCGACATCTCAACATATGTCATGCCCATGCCAGGCTGCGCCCCTTGAGGCAGGCAAGCAACATCATGCTGGACAAACCCCTCCAAAGTGAAACCCTGATGCCGTTGAAATTCAGCCACAAAAGGGGCCCACTCAGGCATTATAGGGAGTTGCCTGGATTCCCAATTGATACCCCATCCACAAACAGTCGGGCATGTGAAAGGACCATTGCGAAGAGCATCGGCAAAAGCTGTTTTCATGGCCCAACATCTGGAGTACAAGTCGTCAAGGGACCTAGGTACCACCGTGCCCAGGATTATGTGAGCCAAAAAACTCACAGTCATAACTCCGCACAAACGATCAGTGATGATGCCATGGGGAACCCGATGAATGGCATGAATTGCCGAACCGCATTTGTGAGCAAGGTGTTGCAATATACGGTCAACACTAGCCTCATCTGCTGCGAAATCAGACAGTGTGTGGGCAATCAGACCCTTTGGGCAAGGTGCAAGCCAAATTGGGATCCAATGTTGCTCAAAAAGCAATGCAGTAATAACATGAGCGTCATCCTGACCAATAAGTGGCCTGTGTTGGTCAATCCATGTGCGGAGCTGATCATCCTGACCATCCAGCCATTGTACAATGGACAACGGAGGGATCACCAAAAACCTTCGGTCACTTGGCTGTGCCTGACATTCCACTAAATGCTGCAATTGAAACAACATCTCATCATCAGACATGGCAAAACTATGTGAAGTCACCTGAAGGAGACGGGCCTGACGTTCATTCTCATCCAGTGAAACAGGAGATGTGCTAGGCCCTTCGGACAAAACAGGCCTCTGGCTGACTAACCCTGGCGGCAAAGGTGAAACAAGTCTCTGTTCTTCTGCGGGCATTCTAGGGAGTGGCCCGGATTCCCCTCTGTCGATAGGCAGCTGAGTACTGCTGGCGGCATGGGACAAATCGTCTCTCTGCACAACCTCATGCTGAGGCACTGAACCTGAACCACTAGATGATGACCCCTGCTGCGGCCGTGGACCATTACCCCAAGCAACAGGGAGCGGCGTGGAGTCAATGGAGTACAAGTGAGCCACGAAGGAAGCTCTCATGTTGGTATGCAAAGTGCGCAATTCCGCAACTGACTCCGGAAGTGGCATGTGCATGATGACATGTGCCAAAAAAGCCATGGAATGGGCCCCACACAAATTATGAGAAGGCAACCCTCCTGGGATACGGTGAATGGCAAAGGTACGAAAATCCAAAAAGTCAGTGATGACTCCAATGATCTCTTCGACTTGAGTGAAATCACATGCGTCATTCTGGAAGGTATGCGCTTGCAAAAGGTTACCTCGCGGTGAAAACCAAAGTGGGATCCAGTGATTATCAACTGCAAACGCTGTGACAATGTTCAGGCCCTGAGTGCGAACTTGAATATGTCTCTCACACCACTGCTCAGTAATGGTCCTACCAATGGATGACCAACAGTTGAAAACCAGCGGCTCAAAAAAGGCGAACGAACGCCCAATCAACGTGTTGGCGGTTTCCTGACGGGAAATGAGCTGAACAATGTGAAACCTGACCTCGTCATCCGCCATGGCCAAACCACGTTCATTAATGAGGTCGATTCGTTGATCCCTAGTGATATGAACAGGTGGAGGCTGAACATGTGGTGCGGCTTCAACATCACCAGCGCCCCAAACCCATGGGCAGTCAACAATCTGACAACCCTGCAAAATCTGAGTGTACCTGTCACGCAAAAGGTCATGAATAGCACAAGCCTCATGGTTATCAGTGGCGAGCAGGGAGCCGATCAAAGCATTCCGCAGGAAAGCCAAAGCTAACGACCCACACAGTTCCGATGTGAAGAACATTCGATGCTCACGGCAAATCAATGCACTGGAGAAACCCAGCCCGACGGCCAACTTTTGCACAACCTGGTTAAGCTGATCATGACATGCAGTGTTGTGATCCCATGTGGAAACTTGCAAAACATCATGTGCCGGAGACATGAAGACAGGGATCCAATGTTGATTGGCAAGCACGGCAGTGATGACCGGCATGTTTGACTGCCGAACCTCAGGGTGATCCTTGGCCCACAAAGTAGAGTCAAAACCCCTACCAACAATCCAGGCAGATGCAAGAAGCGGGTCGATCACACGGACCTGAGTAACCGACTTGGCATGTCGGAGCTGATGATCCCTATGCATCAGCGTCAGGGCATGAAGGTGAAAACGCATTTCATCATCAGCCATCAAGTGACCCTGGGCAGCCAACAGCTGAAGCCGATCTTCGGTCCGAAAAAACTGATGCCTAACTGACCACAATTGATGGACATTTGAAATGCTCGGCAATGACAGCTTCAAAAATTGATCACCCTGCAAGCACAGAAAAGGGGAGGCATCCAACCATGATTGATCTGGGGCATTAGGATTAGGCACCCCACATTCCCCAACATCAAATTTGGAAACCTTCCGAGGTGGAGACGAAATCTCAATGGGATCCTGAACTGGCTGAGTCCACGCTGCAGTTGGTGAAACAACGATGTCGGGTGACGAACAACTCTCGATGCTGTCAGCAGTCGTGGTGACGACAATGACCTGACCAACTTCCATTACATGGTCCCCACCAATCGGTCTGCCATTTAATGAAACTCCAGCAACATGCAAATCGCCAACAAGCTTGGACTGCGCAGCCAAAAATTGGGAAACAGTAGCATTGCATTTGGGCTGGAAACGGATCGGGGAGTCACCTGATCCTTCAATGACAACCGTGCAAGAATCAACCTGCCAACAACCAGCTGTTGTGTGATCATCCACAATGCCAGGGAAATCCATCCAAGGAGTTGCTGGTTCATCCTGGTCTTTGTCAGTGGAATCATACACCGTTGCAGGAATACACTCCTTGCTACGAATGAGGAAATCAAGGATACTTGCGATGCTTACATGACCATCGATCTTGTCGTCCCAACGCATCGGGTACAGAAGCTCACCAAGGGACAGTTCTTTGAATTCGGACCAATACTGCATGAGAGTGAGAAGCTTCGTGTCACTCACAGGATCAGTGTTGCACGGCCAAACCTGCCTGCATCGCATCAACATCCATGACCTGTAAGCTTGGATCTGCAACCCTGAGTCAAGAGCAGGGACATGGCGTATCTTGGACACATGTGCATGAACACTACTGAATACCCACAGTGCCTGGATGGGGCAAGCAATTTGACCTACCGCTGAAAGGGTGAGACGTACGTTTTCACCAAAGTCAATCACAGGGTCCATGGTATTAAGTCCCATAACTTCATTGGGGTGCAAATGTCTGAAGGAACATGAGCCATCAGGCAAGGCAAAACTTCGGACGATGCAACCATGGAGACCTTTAGTCTCAAGGCGATGACTGGAGAAACCCGCACTTCTGCATCCACATGGGCAGGCACGTGTCTGTGATCCCCAGGCATGCAGGGCACATGGCGCAACTGACTTGCTGTTAAGCATGTGCTTAGCATGTGAGTCAGTGGTAACCCCGAATGCATGCAATTCAACGTCATCCAAAGCCAGTGCAGCTTCATCAGAAGGAGCCCACAGGCGGATTTCAGGGATGATTTGCTGAACCTCCCAAAGATTGGTCAAGGGTTCGCATGCTTTAAGGGGGACAGACCCAATTTCAGGGGCGCTAAGAACCCACCAGACTCTGTGCCGACGACAAGGCCAAACATGGTCCAACTTAAGTTCAGTGCGTACCATCTGAAATCCAGTGCATTGGCAAAACTTGGACAGCTCAGCATGGACAAAACAGTCCTGGGCAGCCGGAGCCACGCATTCTAAAATCACAATAGAAGCATTGAGAAAATAGGCAGCATCCAGTGTTTTGGTGAGACTACTTGCACGGGAGTCCAATTGGCTTTTCCCATCTCCCAACCGCGAAAACGGCTGACAACTGAACCCCGAAGAAACCACAGAGGCTCCTTTGGACACTTTCCAAACTTCATGGATGATCTCTTTGCTCCCTACATCCCCGCAAATGCGATACGCATCATTGGCTTTGGCATGGAGATTGACCATGTGCTCATTTTGGTCCACGGCGACAACAACGTCAAGGCCAGCAGCAAGAGCACCTTGGGCCATTCCACCGAAACCTGAACAGAGGTCCACAACAGCCTGACATGAGTCCCAAGTAGGGTGATGATGCCCCAGGACCACAGTGTCTTTTGTCGCAGCAACTTTGGGGACTGGGAATTGGGTGATCAGGCAAACATTGAACAACGTGTAGGCAGTGAAACCAGCAGTGAGACAACCATCATACAGGAATGAAACAGAGCCATTGCGAGTCTTCAGCAAATGTCCAGTGTGTTCATTGTCAAAAACCATCACAGAACATACCAGGTCGATCAAACCACCATTGTCAACAGAAGCGAAGTCCATGGCAAAGCCCGACATGGCAAGAAGAGGGGGACCACTTACCTACCCACGTTCAGCAACGATCAGCCGGACTACTGGAAAGCTTGGGCACCACGGCTGTTCCAAACCACCAACCAGAATGGCTTTGAACGGTGGAGACGCCTATCAGGAAGGGGGTTGTTGGTTTAGAAACCGATCCAACTGTAGATGTATCCATTGCAAACCCTGACTTCGCTACAATAATATTCAGCCTTGCCAACTCAGGAGCCCCTTACTGCTATAACTTGAATGATACCCTCTGGTAAACTAACATAACTTAACTATGGAAAATCACAATTTTTAATGGGAAAATCCACGATTTCTATGGCCATTTTCAATAGCTATGTTTGTTTACCAGAGGGTAATCTTCGTTGTCAATCATCATGTTCCCAACATAATAACTGCAATTTTGGTGTATCCAACATTTATGGACAAGCAAATATCAAGCAAATATCACATTCAAACCAGATCATGTCAAGCGGATGCTGTGCTTCTGTGGATTCCCCTGGGGATCTCTGCAGCCCTGCTGTGCCCTGGTTCCCCAGGAGATTCCCCTGGGGATCACACCAGCTTACAGCGTGCTCTGCCAATTCCTGGCCAGCAATGAGGTTACCTTATGTCTATATCATGGCCAGAAGGACTTCTGATGGAATGTTTGATGGGATTTAAATTGATAAAAATGGAAATTGGCTGTATCATGTGGTGAAGCCATAAAAGTAAACCATCCCCAAGTCATCACCATTTTTATGAGTGCTATAAACCATCCCCAAATGGTAGGTTGTTCATTGGGTTCCCCACATTTGGTTGGGATTTCGCTGTTACTTTGCAATTTTTTGTTTCTAGCCTAGTCGCATGACGCGTGGTTTCCCCCCAGATTCCAGAGTTTCTGAGGATCAGCGATGGATCGGGGAAGCAAACCCGGTGCCATTGGGGTTTCCATTTTTTGGGAGTAAATCCATGTAAATCCTATAGGTTTCCAGAAGGGCCGCTCCCTGGGATGTAATGTTTATAAAGTTTAACCTACACATACAGCTCTATGGAAAATCAGTACTACGTTACAGACATTCATGTCACATCACCAAGGGCCGCTCGATTTAACCCAGCCGGTGAATCACTACCATCCTCAAGTGACGGAAGTGGCTGTAGCGAGAAATTCCTACCAGGTCTATGAATACTCTGGTATAAATCTTCAAGAGTGATTCATCCGTTTTTGTGGTACCCCAGAAATTATTGATCAACCATAATGGGTCATTCAATGCCTACCACACGAAACCAAAACAATTAAAGAACACCTAAGATCTGTTAGATCAGAAACAAATCACCAAATACACCCACCGCCGTATGTATCACGTAAATTCAACCTTCGCCAGCAAAAGATTGAGCAATCATGTGGACTCTTCAATTTAGACTCAAAACTGTGCCAGCCCTGTCGCGCATGCGGGTTTTTTCGCTTTCAGCCTCACTGCAAGAGGGCTAAGCGACATCGATGCTGAGATACATTTGGTCCTTGCTGATCTTGCTGTTCTAAGGCTTCCCAATGATCTTTTTCCGCCCAAAGTTGCCAAGCTAACCGACCGTTGCCAGTTTGCCAGTCGCTCGGCCCATCGCCGCGAAACCCTGCGATGCCTTTCGGGACCCTGGCAAACTCTTAGATGGCACGGTTAGTGCAGAAGCGGGTTACAATCCAACATACCCTCTGGTTATGACTAACATAGCCACGGTATAGATGGCCCATAGAAATAGATGGCTTACCGTTCTTCAAAACGGTGTTTTTTTTTTCCATGGCTATGTTAGTCATAACCAGTTTAAAATCAAGGGGTATGACCTCCAGCACACCAACATAGAAGCAAACTCCACCATGTGTAGATCCATTTGCGAGGGAAACAAGCATTAATGTTTACTGGAGGGTAACCTATTCACTGACCATTTGAGGCTGTTTTGAACGTTGGAACTCCATTCCATACCTACACCCATCGGTAGCCTATTGCAGAATGCAAGATCATCCAAGGGTATAGGAGTTAAACTTTTTTATCTTCCATTTACAGTTATTATAGTCCAAGAACTTACTCACTATCAAAACTGTCTGACCCATTATGAGAAAATATGATTCAACCGTCCCTTAAAATATCAAACACCCTCTTGGAAACCCGGTAATTTAGTACTGGATCTATTCATGACTGGTTGGTGGTATACCTACCCCTCTGAAAAAATATTAGTCAGTTGGGATGATTATTCCCAATATATGGAAAAATAAAACATGTTCCAAACCACCAACCAGATGAAGTCATTGAGTTTGGGGGTGATGCGAGGTATTTGACGATCCAAGTGAGTTTTCCTCTTCCTTGCCCTCATTTACAGATGGGACACCACCAATAACCATTGAATGCTCCATGGTGCTGGAGTATTTACCTGCAAAATTGGGCCATAAAATTGGTGATGATGTAGCTAAATATTTTTTTTTTTATATGCCATACATAAAGGATCTGGGATTGCTAAATCATCGAACTACATAAAATGTGGTGCCCCCTCAGATATAAGATTATTTATAAACCCCATTAACCATAGTTATAGGTACCATGAACATCCATAAACCATAGTTATTGGAGTTATTTGCACCAACTGAACGCTATCGTTTGGGGGCCCCACTTTGTAGAATTCTTCAGCCATCTTTGCCACATGGTAAATCAATTTACGATCGCTAAAACTGAGACGTGAACCCCAAATCCTAAAAGAAATCAATTTAGAAGAACCCAGATATAGTGCAGCTACGAAAAATCCCATCAAGCTCGGCACATATAACATCATATAATGGCTAATATATGGTTAATATATGGTTATTATATGGTTAATGATGGTTAATAATAATCTGGTTGGTGGTTGCTGCTAACCCCTCAGAAAAATATGAGTTTGTCAATTGGGATGATGATTATCCCCAATATATTATGGGAAATAAAACATGTTTGAAACCACCAACCAGTAATACACATTGCACACCTCGAGACTTTTTCTTTGCCAAAACTTACCCTTTGCGAACTGGACAAAAACACCATTTTGAGTCCGTAAACTC